GCCTCCTGAGTAGTGGGATTACAGGTGCCTGCCACCATGTCCAGATAATTTTTTATTTTTAATAGAGACGGGCTTTCACCATGTTGGTCAGGCTGCTCTCAAACTCCAAGTCATCTGCCTGCCTCAGGCTCCCAAAGTGCTGGGATTACAGCCATCAGTCACTGCACCCAGCCATACACACGTTATTAAAACTAAAAGTTTAAAAACAAAGGAAAATGAAAAATTACCCAGAGACAGTCCCTGTTAAAACATTTTGATGTATAGCCTTCTGTCCTTTATTGACACATATCTATTTGGGAAGATTTAACAAATCTTTAATAAAATGTATTTTCATGTACATATTTCTTTTTTGAGATGGAGTCTCACTCTGTCACCCAGGCTGGAGTGCAATGGCATGATCTCGGCTCATTTCAATCTTCACCTCCTGGTTCAAGCAATTCTCCTACTTCAGCCTCCTGAGTAGCTGGGATTACAGGTGCGAGCCAGCATGCACAGGTAATTTTTATATTTTTAGTAGAGGGGGTACACCATGTTGGTCAGGCTGGTCTTGAACTCCTGACTTTGTGATCTGCCCACCTCAGCCTCCCAAAGTGCTGGGATTACAGGTGTGAGCCACTGTGCCCAGCTCACGTATATATTTTTTCACTCTCCTTTTATAATATATACATTTGGGGAAGTTTGCAAAAATGAGAATATTCTAACCTTTTAAAATATAGTTTGAGTTAATATATTTTAATGTAGACTAGGTACAGTGGCTCACACCTGTAATCCCAGCCTTTGGGAGGCTGAGGTAAGCAGATCACTTGAGCCCAGGAGCTCAAGACCAGCCTGGGGGAAAAAAAATATAAAAATTAGCTGGCATGGTGGTGTACACCTGTGGTCCCAGCTACTTGGGAGGCTGAGGTGGGAGGATCACTTGAGCCCAGAAGGCAGAGGTTGTGTTGAGCCGAGATCATGCCAGTGCCCTCCAGACTGGGCAACTGAACAAGACATCATCTTGAAAACATAATTTTTTTGATGCATATTCTCTGTCCTTTTTTGTATAGACCCACAGGGAATATTTCAAAAGTGAGAACTTATTATACATGCTATTCAAAATGTTTTTTCCCCTTATCAAGAACACCTATTTATGTATTTAATATGCTTCCATTACCTTTTTTTTTTTTTTTTTTTTTTTTTTGAGTCTCGCTCTTGTCCCCTAGGCTGGAGTGCAATGGTGCGATCACGGCTCACTGAAACCTCCGCCTCCTGAGTTCCAGTGATTCTCCCGCCTCAGCCTGCCGAGTAGCTGGGATTACAGGTGTCCACCACCATGCCCCTTTAGTTTTTGTATTTTCAGTAGAGACAGGGTTTCACCACTTTGGCCAGGCTGGTCTCCAACTCCTGACCTCAGATAATCCACCCTCTTTGGCCTCCCAAAGTGCTGGGATTACAAGTGTGAACCACTGTGCACAGCCTTACCACTGTGCACAGCCTTTTTTTTTTTTTTCCTCAGGAGTTTCGCTCTGTTGCCCAGGCTGGAGTGCAGTGACACAATCTTGGCTCAATGCAACCTCTGTCTCCAGAATTCAAGCAATTCTCATGCCTCAGTCTCTCGAGTAGCTTGGATCACAGATGTGCACCACCATGCCAGGCTAATTTTTGTATTTTTACACAGATGGTTTCACCATGTTGGCCAGGATGATCTTGAACTCCTGACCTCAAGGGATCCACCCGCCTCAGCCTCCCAAAGTGCTGGGATTACAAGCGTGTGCCACCATGCCTGGCCTCCTCGTAACATTTTAAACAGCAGTTATAATAAATCTGCATGAATACCATTTAATGCCTATGGAACTAATACAGCTAGTGCTCGACTTACGACCACGGTCGGGACCAGGGACCGGTCGTAACACAATTTGGTTGTAAGCTGAATAGGCTATATGTACAGTTGAAATGGTGCACGCGGAGATGGTAGTGCTGCCGGAAGCTGTCCACACTGTCGTACGCCCAGCTGGGCAACGTTTGCGCTGCCAGACGCGGAGCAGTTGTGTCTAGCGATTGTGGTCGTAAAGTCGAATGGTCGTAAGTTGCATAGGTCGTAAGTCGATCAATACCTGTAACTAGTCTTCTATTGTGCAGTGCTACTAGTCACATATATAGATGTTTTCGTGATTCTCACATACACAAACCCACCTAAAAGCATTATATACCCAGATACTCATTGCAGCCTGAATACCAAGTTGGGAACAACTTAACTTAAACATCAGTCAGCAGGTGACCGGTTAGTTTTTCTTGTTTTGTTTTTGAGATGGGGTCCGCTCTGTTTGTTCATCCAGGCTGGAGTGCAGTGGCAAGATCATAGCTGACTGCAACCTCCGCCTCCAGGATTCCAGCGATCCTCCCACCCGTCTCCCGAGTAGCTGGGACCATAGGTGCATACCACTATGCCTGGCTAATTTTTGTATTCTTTGTATAGGTGGAGTCTGGTTATGTTGCCCAGGCTAGTCTCGAACTCCAGGGCACAAATGATCCTCCTGCCCTGGCCTCCCAAAGTGCTGGGATTATAGAAGTGAGCCACTGTGTCCTGGCCCCAAGGAACATCACGTAGCTATTAACAAGGACTTCCCATTAGTCTTGATATGCCACAATCTCCAAGACACTTAGTACAACACACCCTACAATGTGTATTATGAATTGCCCTTTGTGTGGGGAAATGATTATATTCATACATAAGTTTATAAATTCGGAAAGCATTATGAAAATTCCGAGTATCCAGAGGTAACTGTGCTTGTCTCTAGTGTTGAACTAGAGGCGGGAGGAAGATTTAATTTTCACCACATGCCCTTTGGTGCCTTTTGAATTCAGAACAATTTCTATTATCTATTAAAAATAAAATACAGGCTGGGCGCGGTGGCTCACGCCTGTAATCCCAGCATTTTGGGAGGCCGAGGTGGGTGGATCACAAGGTCAAGAGATGGAGACCATCCTGGCCAACACGGTAAAACCCTGTCTCTACTAAAAATACAAAAAATAGCTGAGTGTGGTGGTGTGTGCCTGTAGTCCCAGCTACTTGGGAAGCAGGAGAATCACTTAAACCCGGGAGGCAGAGGTTGCAGTGAGCCAAGATCGCGCCTCTGCACTCCAGCCTGGCCACAGAGCAAGACTCCATCTCGAAATAATAAATACGTAAATAAAAATAAAAATAAAAATAAAATACTGGCCGGGGTGGTTTACGCCTGTAATCCCAGTGCTTTGGGAGACCGAGGTGGGAAGATCACTAAAGCTAAGGAGTATCACTTGAGCTCAGGAGTTTGAGACCACCCTGGGCAACAAAGTGAGCACCCGTGTTTACAAAAATGACACATCACGTGTTACTGAATCCCTGGTATTTGGCGGGACAGTGGATACTGGGAACAACTGTGGAGCTCTTTGGAAATGTACCTTAAAAGGGAGGCCTTTCAAAGGCTGGACACCATGACTCTACAAGGGTGTTTTCAAATCTGCCATAAGGGCCCAACATCTCAGCAGCATCCTGAGCCCTAACGGATGGACAGGTTCTGAGGTCTCAACACCCATCGCACCAGTTCTGCAGCTTTCTAAAGGCATCCAGCACTTTCCACCTTTCTATCGTCATCCTCGCTGGGCCTTACAGCACCGCATGATCCCGGGGGAGGGTGCTTATCAGTCTCCTCTGTGTGTCCCCATGGCACCTAGGGCACCGTCAAGCGCACGGTCCAGAAAGCTTCAATGAAAAGGATAAAGACAGCAAGGGAGCCGGGCGCGGTGGCTCACGCCTGTAATCTGAACACTTTGGGAGGCTGAGGTGGGTGGATCACCTGAGGTCAGGAGTTCAAGACCAGCTTGGGCAACATAGTGAGATCCCCATCTCTACAAAAAAATCAAAAATTAGCAGTGCATGGTCTGTAGTCCCAGCTACACGGGAGACTGAGGCAGGAGGACAGCTTGAGCCCAGGAGGTTAAGGTTGCAGTGAGACATGTTCATGCCACTGCACTCTAGCTTGGGCGACAGAGTGGGACCCTTTCTCAAAAAAAGAAAAAAAAAAAACAAAAGGAAGTAGAAGGGAAAAACATAACTATTTACGCTGGACATGGTGGCACTTGCCTATAATGCCAACTACTCAGGAAGCTGAGGCAGGAGGATCACTTGAGCCCAGGAGTTCAAATCCAGCCTAGGAAATATATTGAGATGCCATCTCCAATAAATAGGTAAAATAACCATCACAGAAGTGAAGATGAAGCTAAAAAGAGCAAAAATAGGCCAGGCGCGGTGGCTCATGCCTGTAATCCCAGCACTTTAGGAGGCTGAGTTGGGCGGATTACAAGGTCAGGAGTTTGAGAGCAGCCTGGCCAATATGGTGAAACCCCGTATTTACTAAAAATACAAAAATTAGCCGGGCGTGGTGGTGGGTGCCTGTAGTCCCAGCTACTCGAGAGGCTGAGGCAGGAGAATCCCTGCTTTCTCATTTTTATACTTTATATTGTTTTGATTTTTTCTCTAATTTCATTTAATTCCTTTTGTTTATATTGTTTGCTTTTCTCATTTTTATACTTTATATTGTTTTGTTTGTTTGTTTTGAGAAAGAGTCTCGCCTGTCGCCCAGGCTGGAGTGCAGTGGTGCGATCTCAGCTCACTGCAACCTCCCAGGCTGGAGGTCAGTGGTGTGATCTCGGCTTACTGCAACCTTTGCCTCCCAGGTTTTTTTTTTTTTTTTTTTTTTNGGATCACCTGAGGTCAGGAGTTCAAGACCAGCCTGGCCATCATGGTGAAACCCCATCTTAAAAAAAAAAAAAAAAAAAAACAGCAAGGGAAGGAGACTGAGGGGCAGACCGCGCGAGTAGGGGCGGGAGGAGGCCCACCCTACGCCCTGCCCCCAGCAGAGCACAAGCCCAGCTCGCGTCCCGAGCTCCCGGGTCCGCAAAGCCGGGCCCCGCTTAACCGCGACACGCCGGAGCCCAGGAGCATGGACTGCCGAGCTCCTCCCGTGCGCAATGACGTCGGGACTGCGGCGCGAGGGGTGGGGCCTCAGCCGCTTTGCAGCCACGGACCAATGAGCAGGCGCCGGACGACCCGTGGCCCAATGGTGGCGGCGCGCGGGCACGCTGGGGGCGGGCCGGGCGCGCCGACTTTTCCAGAAGACCCGGATAGTGCCTCCCGGCCACGCCGCGCCGGCTCTGAGCTTTCCGCACGCCGAGTCGCTTCCTTTTCCTCCGCTGGAGCAGCTATGGCGGCGGTCAAGACCCTGAACCCCAAGGCCGAGGTGGCCCGAGCACAGGCGGCACTGGCGGTCAACATCAGCGCGGCGCGGGGTCTGCAGGACGTGCTGAGGACCAACCTGGGGCCCAAGGGCACCATGAAGATGTAAGGCGGGGCTGGCGGGAGGGCCGGGCGGGCACCGCGCGCCGCCGCTGACCTGGGCCCTGGGCCGCGGACTAGAGCCCGCCGCCTCGGGGCTCCGCAGCCATCCTTTCCTGCGTCCTCCCTGGCCGGTCCTGTTCCCTGCTAAGCCTCACCGTCCCGGCCATTTCTCCCTGCGTCGATGTCGTCTCCGTGGAGAACAAAGCGGCTCTAGTGCGCGGCGTTCCCCTTCCTCTGGGGCTTCCAGGCACCCTGAGGATTCGGCACAATCTCTGCTGGGACAGGGTGGGCACTACTGTCCTGCCTGCGGGAGATAACTAGCCCCATATCCCCGGCTCCCTAACATCTGGGAAAAGCCTGTTTTCTAATGGGACTTTTAAATTTAGTTTTTGTTGAAAAAGTCAGTCTGATTCATCTCTTCCTCTTAAACAGGCTTGTTTCTGGCGCTGGAGACATCAAGCTTACTAAAGACGGCAACGTGCTGCTTCACGAAATGGTGAGAGGTGCTCTGCTAGGTCAAAAAGGTCTTGATTTTCCGTACAATGTTTGCTTTGTAGAAAGATTTGCAATGTCCATTTTCAGGGTAGGAGAACATTCAGAAGTGGCATGTATTCAGTAATAGTGCTGACAGTGCCTGGAGTGGGACAGCCCTGTCTTTGAATCTCTACATTTTTGCCATTTACAGCCCGAGTTAAAGGACTGTCATTGTATATTAAAGTTAATTATAAGAAAATCTGAAAAATGAAGAGTGATGTTGACACAATCACATGGGCAAAATGTGTAAGGGTGGTTTTTCTTTTCTTTAAGGTGGAGTCTCACTCTGTTGCCCAGATATAGTGGAGTGGCACAATCTCGGCTCACTGCAATGTTCGCCTCAAGGGTTCAAGCGATTCTCCTGACTCAGCCTACTAAGTAGCTGGGATTACATGCTCATGTCAGCATGCCCGGCTAATTTTTGTTTTTTTATTTTGTTTTTTTTGAGACGGAGTCTTACTCTGTTGCCCAGGGCAGGAGTGCAATGGTGTGATCTCCCCTCACCACAACCTCCACTTCCTGTGTTCGAGCAATTCTCCTGCCTCAGCCTCCGGAGTAGTTGGGATTACAGGCACATGCCACCATGCCTGGCTACATTTTTGTATTTTTAGTAGATGCAAAGTTTGACCATGTTGGCCAGGCTGGTCTCGAACTCGTAACCTTGTTATCTGCCCGCCTTGGCCTCCCCCAAAGTGCTGCGATTACAGGCCTGAGCCACTGCTCCCAGCCTAATTTTTGTATTTTTAGTAGAGACAGGGTTTCGCCATGTTGGCCTGGCTGGTCTTGAACTCCTGACTTCAGGTGATCTACCTGTCTCAGCTTCTCAGAGTCCTGGGGTTACCAGGTGTGAGCCACTATGCCTGACCGGTTTTTTTCTTATGAAAACACCAGTTTCTCTGTTACATCTCCATCTCCAACTGGAAGGAAGAGAAATCTGTCTCTTTGATTTAACATTTTAAAAGTCTTAGGGATGGAGAATATGGATTATTGAGGGGAGTATGAGTTTTACTCTTCCCTAAATTCCCAAAACTTAGCAATTCAAATCCAAGAAAAGGAAATTATTTCCGGCTGATTTGAGTTCAGAGTAATATTTAAGGTTTTTCTAGTAGTATACCATGTCACCAATATCCAGATGAAATATCTTTGTAAGGACTTGCTGACCTAGGAGGTGTAGTTTCTGTTTGCTTTTTGTTTGTTTTTCATTTTTTGCCCAGATTTTACAACTGGGTACTTCCTAAAATGAAAGCTCAACAGCCTCCACTGTTACTCTGCAGTGACCAAATAATTTAAAAGGAAAGGTCAGGTGTGGTAACTCATGCCTGTAATCCCAGCACTTTGGGAGGCCAAGGCAGGTAGATCCCTTGAACTCAGAAATTCAAAAGTAGCCTGGGCTACATGGCAAAATCCTGTCGAGATTGTGCCACTGCACTCCACCCTAGGTGACAGAGTGACAGAGTGAGACTGTCTCCAAAAAATATATGTATGTATATTAAATTTGGGTTTTAGTGTGAGAAATACAGCATATGTAGAGAGAAGCACATTGAACATTCACAATTCAAGTAATTATAGGCCGAGCGTGGTGGCTCATGCCTGTAATTCTACTACTTTGAGAGGCCGAGGCAGGCGGATTATCTTTGGTCGGGAGTTCAAGACCAGCCTGACCAATGTGGAGAAACGCTGTCTCTGCTAAAAATACAAAATTACCAGCACTTTGGGAGGCC